GTAGGATTAATATGGTAAAAATGGCAATCCTACCAAACCCATCTACAGACTCAATGCAATCCCCATCAAAGTTCCAACATAATTCTTTACAGACCTTGAAAGGAAAATTCTCAACTTCATATGGAAAAACAAAAAACCCAGGATAACCAAAACAATCCCGAATAATAAAGGAACTTCTGGAGGTATCACCACCCCTGACTTCAAGTAGTAGCACAGAACTATAGTAATAAAAACTGCATAGTATTGGCATAAAAACAGACAGGTGGATCAATTGAATTGAACTGAAGACCCGGACACACACCTTTGGACACCTGATTTTTGATAAAGAAGCCAGAAGTACACACTTGGGGAAAAACAAAACAACAGCAATAACAACAAAAAACAGCACTCTCAACAAATGGTGCTGGCCAACTGAATGGCCACATGTGGAAGAATGCAAATACATCTACATTTATTACTCTGCACAAAACTCAAGTCCTAGTGGATCAAAGACCTCAATATAAATCGAGTTACACTGAACTGACAAAAGAGAAAGTGGGAAGAGCCTGGAACTCAATGGTACAGGAGACAACTTCCTGAACACAACACTGATATAGCATAGGCACTAAGAGCAACAATTAATAAATGGGATCTCATGAAACTAAGAAGCTTCTGTAAAACAAAGGACACTGTCAATCAGATGAAATGGCAGCCTGCAGAATGGGAAGATTTTTATCAACTCCACATCCAATAGAGGTCTCATATCCAAAATTATATAAAGAACTCAAGAAACTAGACAGTAAAAAGACAATCTAATTAAAAAATGGGGTACATATCTAAATAGGTAATTCTCAATAAAGGAATCTCAAATGACTGAGAAACACTTAAAGGAATGTTCAACATTGTTAGCCATCAGGGAAATGTAAATCAAAACAACTCTGAGATTCTATCTTACACTTGTCAGAGTGGCTAAGATTAATAACACAAGTGGCAGCTCATTGCTGGTGGAGCAAGGGGGAACACTCCTCCTCCATTGCTGCTGGGAGTGCAAACTTGTACAGACACTATGGAAATCAGTATGGCAGTTCCTCAGAAAATTGGGACTTGATCTACCTCAGGACCCAGCTATACCACTTTTGAGCATATACCCAAAGGATGCTCCATCCTACAAGTACAGTTGCTCAACAATGTTCACTATGGCTTTATTCTTAATAAGCAGAAACTGGAAACAACCTAGATGTCCCTCAACCAGAAAATGGGAAGAAAACATGGTACTTTACACAATGGAATATTACCCATTGGTGTAAAAAAAAAAAAAAAAAATCATGAAATTTTCAGGCAAAGGCATCCAACTAGAAAGTCATCTGGGGTTAGTAACCTAGATCCAGAAAGACAAATAAGGTATGTATTCACTTATTAGTAGATATTAGTTGTTGAGTAAACAATGAAGCTACAACCCATAGACCCAGAGAGAGTAGGTAAAGAGGATGGGGGTGGGGTATGGATCTCCATGGGAAGAGGAAATGGAATAGATTCCGTGGGTGGACTGGGGGTGGGCGAAGATGGGAGCAAAGGGGTCAGGAGACAGGAGTGGGGAGTAGAACCAAACACAAATGGCTCTACAGATGGAGTGGGGGGCTTTTAAGGGGGCATAGAACAGCAACTTAGTGCAATGGAAACTTCCTAGAATCTATGAGGGTGACTTTAGTGAGGACTCCCAGTAATGGAGGACAAGGAGTTTGAACTGGCCATCTGTTGTAGCCAGGCAAGGCTTCCAGTGGTGGGACTGGGTTACATTCAGTTGAGATGTTGGCTGAGGTGGTCTGTGGAGATCCCTAAGCAACCTGGAATGAGCCAGCTGGGCAGTAGCACATACATTTAATCCCAAGAAGAAAGAGGCAGGGGGATCTTTGTGAGTTTGAGGCCAATGTGGCCTACAGAGCAAGCTCCAAAACAGCCAGGGATACACAGAGAAACTCTGTCTCAAAAAACAAACAAAACAAAATCGACAACAAAAGAATAACCCAGACTCAAGCTAGGATAGAAGGCAGGCCTCTGAAAACTGACAGTCGGTTCTCACTTTTGAGTACAACTTCCATTCAGCCCACTGAATGCAGAAAGGTCAAGTTGGTGCAGGTTTGGAGCCTTCACACCTACATTCTAGTTTCTTTGACCCCAAAAAGGTTCTCTGCAAGCTATGTAAGGAGAACCCTGGACACCAAATCAGGACCATTGTGACCTACAATCTGTTCTGCCTGCAAGATGTGCTAAGGCAATAGTGGTAGAGAACTTGTAGGAGTGGCCAAACAATGTCTGATTTAACTCAAGACCCATGCCACAAGAGGGAACCCATGCCTGGCACTGCTTAGATGGGCAGAAACCGGAGACTGGATAGTCCAGACACCTGCAGTAGAACCAAACATGAATGGCTTAAAAAAAAAAAAATCAATGAAATGATTCTAAATGATATTCTGCAATACTCATTGACTAGTACCTTGTCCAGTCATCATCAGAGAGACTTCCTCTGGCAGCAGATGGGAGCAGGTCAGAGACTCACAGCCAGACCTTATGGGGAGAGTCTAAATTGGAGGTCTTCATAGGGTCCCACCCCTCAGAGATTGGGGAACCAACGGAAGAGAGGGAGGAAAGATTGTAGGAGCCAGAGGAGATGGATGACACCAAGAGAACACAGCCCAGAATCAACTAATCATGGCTCACATGGGCAAGCGGAAACTGAAGAGGCAAGCATGGGACATGTGTGGATCTGCACTAGGTCCTCTGTGTATATGTTATGGCTGATAGCTTGGTGTTTCTGTGGAACTCCTAACAAAGGGAGTGGGGATACCTCCAACTATTTTGCTTGCTCTTGGGTTGCCTTGCCCAGCCTTGATACAAGGGGTTTTGCTTTGTCTTATTGTATCTTGTTTTGTTGTGTTTCGCTGTCATCTCTTGGAGGCCTTCCCTTTTCTGAAGAGGAAATGGATAGGGAATAGATCTGGTGGAGCAGGGAGATGGGAGGAGCTAGGAGGAGTAGAGGGAAGGGAAACTGTGGTTGGGATTTGGGATGTATTGTATAAGAGAAGAATCTATTTGATAAAAAAAAAAAAAAGATTTAAAAAAATGAGAAAATGAGGTTCCAGAGAGTTAAAGACCTTGTCTGTGAGTGGGTGTTGGCACTCAAAGGCAGGTATGTCTGGCTACAAGGCTTAAACTGCTGCCTAAGACAGTGAAAATGCTAAAATAAAAGAATGACCTCCTTCCTCAGCCCCAGGAACTTTACCAGCTCTTCATTCACTCAGCCCCAAGTCTCTAGAGGTGCTTCTAAAGTCAGGAATATAGGGTGGACATTGTGGGAAGTGTGCTTATGAATCTCAGTTTCTTGCCCTCCTGACAGATACTGGTAAGCACTGTCATGCAAGACAACAGTAGTCAGCAAGTGTGTGTTAGCAACCTGAACTAGCTCTTCAGCCCAGGATGAAGAAGTGCTTCCTGATACAAAGTTTATATTATGGGTGAGCAGGGCATAAACAGGCAAGTACAATGTAGTATTTCAGGTGCTCTGGGGAGGGAGGCACAGGGTAGTGTAATGGCAGAGTGCAGGGCTCTTAGATTAGCTTCAAGGAAAGTGCAGTTTCTGAAGGGACAAAATGACAATGAAATCCATTGTTTCTATACTACTACTAACTAAAATGATCTCCCAACCTTCCCCTCAAAAATATTAACTATTTAGTTTAATTTAAATTATGGGGAAAGGAAGGACAGCAAATTCATCTAGAGATCTATGAAGAGTATTGATAAACACAAGTCTGGCTGTACTCAAAAGGCAAATGCCTGTTAACTACGATATTAGTGAAAGTAAGATTGAGAAATAAGGGGCCACATCTCACACTAAGTCACACATTACAGAGTGATGCTTCAATTGGCAATGGACCTAAAGTTTAGAACAGAGCTGGGAAGTACCCATGTTCCAGCAGATTCACCTCATGACTTTTTATAGGTTTGTATGCCAAAACAAAGACTGGCTGGAGAGGGCTCAGTGGTTAAGAGCACTTACTCTTTCAGAGGACCCAGGTTCGATTCCCAGAACCCACATGGTGGCTCACAACCATCTGTAACTCCAGTTCTAAGAATCTAATGATCTCTTTTGACCTCTGCAGATACGAGACATGCATGTGGTGCATGTGTGTGTGTGTGTATGTATGTGTGTGTATATATATATATATATTATGCAAAACATCCCTAAACATAAACAATAGAAATATCTAAAACAATTACACCACTGTGCCACTAGTCACAGAAGCATACAACACATGCAATTATGTGTAGTATACACAATACTCAGTAACATAGCAAAGGACTGTCTGGTTAATTTACTATATTGTGCTTTTCTTTCTTATTTTGGAGGTCCCCTTCTACTTATAAACACATAAACGCAGCATGCTGCGTTAATGGTGGCAGCATCAGGCCCAAAGAGCTCATGTTTGCTATGTCTCTTGGTTGCATCAAGAGGTCAACATCTGAGTTATAACACCCAGGAGTTTTTAAATTTTATTTTTACTTTTAAAATTATGCATATATGTTTGTATGTATATAGGGGAGAGCGGTGTTTGTGCATGTTGAGTGTAGTGCTCTCAGAGGGACAAAGAGGGTATCAGATCCCCTGGAACTGGAGTTATGAGTCAGTTGTGAGCCACCATGTGGGTGCTTGCCTTTGGCAAGAGCAGTGTGCAACCTTAACCTCTGATCCACCCCTCTAGCCTATCCATGCAGGTTCTTGTATGTAAGCTCTAAGGTCGTCATACAATAGCTAAACCATACAGCCTGAGAACTGTGACCACTGAGTGATATGCAATCATAGTTCCTCGTGTCATAAATATTTATGAACATTTACAATGTGTCAGACATTATGCTAACAGTTTAACTACGATGCTGAATAATAAGAGCCAGTTTACTAGTTAGTAGAGGAGACATACACAAATAAAAATGCTAACACCATAGATAAGGAAGATTTCAATTCTTACCTGTTATTAAATCTGAAGGTATTCTATCAGTCAAGAAATCAACCACAAGTATTCGACTTGTTGCAAATATAATACCACCTTGTGTATATACTTCATAACGACTATTACTTGTGATTTCATTTGTCACACGTCGAGGGAGGTGTTCAACTCCTTCTATCTTCAACTGATTGATAAAATATTCCTAAGTCAGATTAGACTAATTAGTAAAGTGTTTAATATGGGCAGAATTCTATTAAAATAGAATGCAGGGATTGAAAATGATGTCTCTGTTCTTTGATGTGTGACCATCACAGCAAATATGAAAACTAAGTTATTTCAGGTTACTTTAAGGTTTTTGTTTGGTTGTGCTTTGGAGTTTACACTAAGAAATAATTGTGTTTCAGTCATTTGCATTATAACACCAACCCCCCCCCCCGAACCTTTTAAAACTCTGGGTTAAAAGTTCTCTACTACTTTGAAATTACTTCTCACCAAAGCCAGGCTTTCAGCCAACATCCTCTGTAATAAGGGATTCCTCTCTGCAGACAATGCTTTAGACTGCTAGTGATGTACTATTAGTTACAGCAGTATTGATGCTGACAGCCTCTCCTTCAATGCCACTTTCCTGGGCATCTTACAAGTCCCATGCCATGCACTGGAGACACCCAGGAGAGTCCAAAAGAGCCTCTTCTCAGCTGACACGTTCTTCCTGGCTCATAACTGTCCTTTTAGGGACCCCACTCTGCTGTCCCCCAAAACACCCATAATACTTAACTTCCAGGCTCACACATTATCCTTACAGCTTTACTCTGTATCATTCTGACAGCTTCCCTACTTTGCAGTGCAACCCAATCCACTCCCCTACCTTAATGTGTACCCCAGTCGCCCCTCTTTTTTTCACTGTCAAGAGGGTGTATGGGAGCCGTATTCTTAGTGTCCTCAAGCTGTGGGCCCGAAATCTCTTCCAAAGAGCTCGACTCAATGCCCTCGCTGTCTATCAAGTGAGGAAGCCAAGACTTCCTGGGGACGCATTCCCTCCTTCGCAGGGCCCTCCCGCAGTGTTAGAATCCTAGCTCTCTTTCAAGGACCCGTACTCAATGCCCTCCCAAGTCGTGGCAGCCACTTGGACTTCCCAGGGTTCCCCTTCCCTCCTTCACAGTGTCCTACAATTATGTAGGTGCCCTGAATCTCCCTCAGAGACCTCAATTCATTCCCTTTCGTGTCCCGTTGACCTGCGCTGGCTCTGCGCCCCTGCGACCGCACAGCTTCGCGTTCCCGCCGCGCCGGTCTCGGCTCGGATGACCCCACGCCCTCGGGTCCACCCATCTTGCAGTCGCACCTCCTCAGCCGGCTGCGTGTTGAGCACCAGCACCAGGCAGGCTGGGTGGCAGTGCAGCCGCAAGAAATGGTAGAGGAGCCGGTCGGCGCCAAGCCCGCGAGCGCACACCACCAGCCCATCGCTGTCGAGCAGTTCCAGCACCAGCTGCCTCTCGTACTCCAGCAACGGCGCCATTGCTTTGCGTACAGCCAATAGGCCCTGCTCCATGGGCGCCCTTCCGGGACAGCGGCCGGACGGGTACGGAAAGAGCCGAGCCGAGCCGAGTTCTGGCCCAACTCAAGGGAGGAACTTCGAGGCCCGATCGCGGGACAAAGATTGTGACAACAGCCGAGCCTGAGACGAGAGTGGGCTGGAGGAAGCCGAAGGGAGTCCAAGAGAGAACCAACCGATTGTAGCCAAAGAATCGAGGGTGGGACAAATGTGTCCCGAATGAAGCCGAGCCAGAGGGCCGGAGGTAGCCGAATTTAGCCGAGAGGCGCCGAAAGATGTCGAAGGCGTTATCGCGCGGAAGCGTTAGCGAGCAGAAACATGTCCGGTTCAGGCGGTAACCGGGTGTTTTCGGGATTTGGTTCTCTAGGTCTAGAACACAAACTAACAAAATGCAAACAGAGAAGTCTATTAACATAACCCTCCAATATCTACAGTTCAGAATGTTAGCTGTCAGTATTCCAAGCTCACCCAGAATCCGCACCACTTTCCGAAACAGCGTGCAGTGTAGTCTCTACTTTTGTAATTATTCCCTTAAATTTTTTTTGAATAAGCACAATACTTTATGAATCCCTGCCTTTTGTTTGCAAAACTCGTGAATAACATGTGCTGTTTCACAAAGTTGCAATCAGGTACTAGCCGCAGCCGCGTTTCGCCTTGTACTAGAGGGACACTTTGGATCGTGTTTGTAATTGCCTAGCGCTGATAGATCGCTCAGAATCCCCCACTCCCCTTCATTGTTAGCCCATAAAAACACAAGTGAAGCCAAAATACGACTGATCTTTTACACAGGATTAACCTCGGTTAACAATGAAATCCGTACGTTTTAAAGCCCCGATGCCCCGCCCCCTTCGACCCAAGCACTCGAACAAGCTCGCGCGCGCACACCCCCCCTTTTATCTATATAAAATATTAAATAACCCGGATATGAAACCTGAGTTTGGGTTTATTCAAGTGGCAATAGGCTGTAATCCTAGCTATTCCAGATGCTGAAGCAAATTCAAGGTCAGCCCGAGTTACAGATGGGGACCCTCCAATACAAAGTATAAAAAATGATGGGATATAGATCAGTGGTAGAGACCCGAATTTGTCACTAATATTTCACAAATCTCTAATAATCTTTTAAAGTCCTTTATGTGGCAGAGTTTTCTGTAAAGCAGATGCATATGTTTGTTTATCTAATTACTTGAGAATGTTTAGTCAGCTACCACTTCTCTCCACCAGCGTTATTCATAGCCTTTCACTAGCTGCTTTGTAAGGAAGTTCAACCAAACCCTCAAAGTCCATTTATGGAAGTAGATGATTAGTGGAATAAAAAGGAAACATTTATCTGAGTTTTTATTACCTTTATTACATTGCCTTCTAGAAAGCCTACCAATTTCCCTTCACGTCAGCAGCCTATAAGAGTTTCTCTATCTCCTCTGCTTCTTCCATTGTTTTCCTTACATGGAAGCAGAAAAAGACACCTGTAGACACTTACCATACAGCATTCCCTGTGAGCCATGCAGTAATACCTGTAGTTCTGCAAGAAGGTTACATAACCAGGCAAGGCTGTAGAGCCAGATGATGTATTTATTTCTTAGCTTTAGTTCAGGATAGGGAGTCAACACACATTGGGTGACAATACTGACATTTACACCCAATTCCTCCTACACTGTGACAGGCAGAATGCTGCAACCCAAAAGATGCCCACATCAAATCCCCAGAACCTTTTGTGTTATTTTTCATGGCAAAGAGGAATTTGTAGACGTGATTAAGCTTGAGATGGAGAAATAGATGCGGAATTATCCAGGTGTACCCAATATAGAGGTGTTTAAGGGTAAAGGGGAGGCTGGAGAGTTAGCTTCAAAGGAGATCTAAAGAGGGAAACAGGTCAGAGTGAGGATTGCAGCCTTTAGAAGCTGGAGAGCATGTTGTTTCTTCCCTGGACCCTCAAGAAATATTACAGCCACCCCCACAACCTATTTTGCACATCTGGTGCCTAGAACTGGAAGAAACTGCATTTGTGTTGTGTTATTTTAACCCCTGGGTTTGGGGTAATTTGTCACAGCAATAATGGGAAATGAATACACAGGTGTTTCTTATTTTGACTATACTGAACTTTGAAGATGAAGTTCCCAGCTTATAAAAACAATCCAGTAAACATCATAAATAGGGGGCTGGAGAGATGGCTCAGAGATTCTTCTTCAGAGGTCCTGAGTCAATTCCTAGAAACCACATGATGGCTCACAACCATCTATATTGAGATCTGGTACCCTTTTCTGGTGTGCAAGCATGTATATAGAGTGACTGGGGTATAGCTGGCAGGGAAAGTGCTTACTGTGAAAGAATGGGTACTCGTGTGTCAAGAATGGGTACCTTCATGTAATCCTAGAACCCATGCAAAAGAACCAGAGAGTCCCATTGCTGGGAGGTAGTGATAGGTAGGTCCTGAGGCTTGTCATCCAGGTCATTGAGACAAGCCTGTCTTCAACACAAGGTAGTTGTCAAGAAGGCTTAGTCACTAAGCCTGACTCTCTGAGTTTGGTCTTAGGGATTCAGATGCTGGAAACTGTACTTTGACTTCCACATGTATATTATGGCTTGCACCCCTCATAAATAAATGCATGCAATTAAAAAAAAACAACCAAGGCAGACAGTTACTGAGAATTGACACTCAAGGTTAACCTCTGGTCACCACATGTGTGTGCTGTGCACACAATACATGTACATGTCGATCCCAGTTCCCTCTCCCTCCCTCCCTCCCTCCTTCCTTCCCTTTAACCCTCTCTGCCCTCTCACATGCACTCTAACCACCCTCCCCTCCCATCCCCCACCCCAATTACATATGTAGGGGAATGCCATCCAGTTGGGGTCATGTAGGTCTGACAGGTCATGTGAAGTAGGGACTAGAACTTCTCTCCTGTCTCTAGATTAAGGCAGTTATCCCTCCATGGGGGATGTGTTCCCAAAGTCCTTTTGTGCACCAGGGATACATCCTGGCTTCACTGTCTGAGGTCCCTTAGACTGCTCAGTCCTTCTGGCTGAGACCCATATTCAGGGGGGCCTGAGTCAGTCCCATGCTGGCTTCCCAGCTATCAGTCTGGTGGCCCGTTAGCTCCTCCTTGTTCAGGTAAGCTGTCTCTATGTGTTTCTGCCACCTGGTCTTGTCCTCTCCATCTGCATCTGAGTTCTACTTCAACTCAGTGTTTATGTATGGGTGTTTGATCCTGTTTCCAACAGGTATTAGTTGAGGGCTCCATGGAGAAGTTAGTTGTTGATCTCACTCTCCGGGAAGGGCATTTATGATAGCCTTTCCACGGAAGCTCAAATTGTTATTTGGCAGCAGTCTTGTAGTTCTCTAGACCTTTCTTTGTGTTCAATTTTATCTTCAAACCAATATTGGCTCCCTCTTTTATGTTCTCTCTCTGTCTCTGTCTCTGTCTCTGTCTCTCTCTCTCTCTCTTCTGTCTTCTATTCCTAACCAGGCTCAATCAATGTAAAATAATAAATTAAAATAAAAAAAATGCTTTGACTCCAAAATTTAAGTTCAAGGACAAGTTACTGGGGAAAAGGATTTCCCCAGTATTTTTGTTTCCACAGAAAATGAAAAGATGTGGATTCCTTCCAGGCTAATGTGGTTTGATCAAGCCAGACCACCTGAAACAGAGTACCAGGTGATCCTACATTCAAAACAGCTGGACAAAGCAGCCTTACAGACTACAGCCAGGATTTCTGAATCTTCTTTGAATCCTCCATGACAGCGCCCCTTACCAGCAGGAAGTAGTTTGGAAAGAACAACGCCCAAATTCCCAAATATTGTCTATAAATGTTTGTTTTCATTTAAATGGACTTGGTTATATAAAATAAAAAAAGAAAAAAATACATGTGCATGTGTGAGTGCACACATGTACACATACAATAGCCATATAGATGTATAAATACATTGATATTTACTCTTCCAAAGAATGTCAATTGGAAACACAATGTGTTAGCTCCTGTACCAAGTGCTAGGGTCTTATCAGGGAAAAAAGCAGGCAAAATCCCTGCCTTATATTCTTCTGAGGAGCTAGTATATGAAAAAAATCTCTTGATCATTTCATTATGTGAATGGTGGTTATTTTTTTAATATTTTTCTTAATTGTCCTATCACAAGAAAGTACTTGAAAAATTTTGATGTGGAAATGGACCAATATCTAATATATACTGAAAAAACAATAAATTGTACCATAAAAATAGATAGAAAGCTCTCACTTGTCTATTTTCTCAGGACTACACAGAAAGTGCAGGAAAGAAACCAAATCTCTTAACACAAGCAGCCACCTTTGGGAATTAAGGTACGGGGTGGGGGGTGGGGAGTGAGGGGTGGGGGAGGTTGGAGGTCAGCATCACCTTTGAAACTTTATTTTTTCTGTTTATTCCCTTCTGTATTGTTTGTGTTCCTTCCCTGGTATTTACTTTGCATTTATAATAAAAAACGAAAGAAACTTCCCAGCTACTCTGTCTTATGCTGGCATCTGAGGCGATAGATCTTTGTACATTTCAACAGGTTGAATTTACAGTTCACTTTTGGTCCTTCATAAGCAGAGTGATGGTTTCCCTCGATGTTACTCTCACAATGATTCTCCAGGCCTGTATTTCTTAGCCTGATTTCTCTTCCTTCTTTTTCCCTCTCTCTCCCCCTTCTTCTTTTTCCTGTCCTCACCCACTCCCCTTCCTTCCCCTCCCTCTCCCTTGGCCCCCTCCCTTCAGATCCACTTCTTTCTTATTTTGTCCACAAGGCTATAGGCAGGCCCTCATTGGCCTTTGTCATAAGGCTAGCAATGAGATTAAGCTTCATTTTTCTCCTACACTCCCCAGTCTCATGTCAACTGCCAGAGCCAGGCATTGACATCTCTCTCAGCATGTAGTCTTTCAAACTATATGTAGTCTTCCCTTGATATTCTTGAATCCCCCTCCCCCCACACTGCCATAATAAGTGGATACTCAAATCCATTATATAAAGTGGCACAGTGGGCTGGAAACACAGATCATGTGCAAAGCCGTTCTGTTCCCTGCCATAGAG